GTACCAGGGTTTCAAACTCAGGACCTTGCGCTTGCGAGGCAGGTGGGGGAAACCACTGAGCTAAATCCCCAGCCCTAGACACTCTAGTTGGGAATCAAAGTTGAGTTCTGGGCCCAAGGCCCCAAGCAATGGTATTGAGGGTTCAAGACAGGGAACAAGGATCTCAGCCCCAGCCCTGACCCTTTTCTTTTCTGCAGTGGCCTGCAGGAAGGCTCTGGACAGCACTACAGTAGCAGCTCATGAATCAGAGATCTACTGTAAGGTCTGCTACGGGCGCAGGTACGGCCCCAAGGGGATCGGATACGGACAAGGTGCCGGCTGTCTCAGCACTGACACGGGCGAGCACCTCGGCCTGCAGTTCCAACAGTGAGTTACTGCCTTGCTCCCCCTCCCCGTTACAGTCTCCAATTACCAGGACAGTTCATTCCGTTCCCATAGCAACATTTTCTGGCAGTGGGAGGGCGGACTCCATTGTGGACTTGCCCACAATAGGAATACTCACTCTGACCAAGTTCTAACAATGTGTCATTGCTCCAAAGGCAGTCTCTAAATTATCTGCCTTTCTAAAGGACAATTACTTTTACACCATGGCTCTGCCTCTGCATGTCAAGAGAACTCCCCGGAATGTACAGATAGATATATTCTACTGTCTGACCTTTGCAAAACTGCATGGAGTTCTTCTTCCTCCCTTTTGAGGGCTTCTGCGTAAACCACATGGCTGGGATGGGATGGCCATTCTGTGTGTGCTTGCTGCTAAAAGATTTCTTCCCTTCTGCTGGAATATGACTAAGGTTCACATTGTGGAGGGTGGGGTCGCAGGAATGGGCTGAGTCTCAAGGGTAAACAACCCTTTACCGTTGTTCCATGAGTCTCCCTGGCTGCCTGTTGCTGGCACGCTGCTGGATTTCTCCCAATACGGCCCTGAAAAGTGGGACATCACAACGGCCACCTCCCTGTACTGGTCTCTTGCTCAGCCTACTTTCTAGATGATGACACTGACCCCTGGCCCAGAGCTGAGGATTGTGTGGTGGCCACTGGCCTGCAGCAACTGCCTTGGTCAGCTGGTATCTGGGCTCAGCCTCCTAGTGCGGCTGTCCAGAAAGGCCCTGCCCAACTGGGAGAGTCCCATGAGGCTCCCCCACAAGCAGTTAAGACATCTAAGGAGCCATCTGGTCCCTCCAGACGGGAGTAACTTAACAGAGCCTGGAAAAGTGGAGGGAGATGTGACTCTCATCCTAAGGAGAGAACTTTGTTAATTTCTCTCATTACTCCTTCCCAGCTGGAGACTCCTCCCCTCTGCCCAGTACTGGGGGTTGAATGCGGGGCCTTCGCACTAAGACACTGAGATAAATAAAACCCAGCTCACCTTTTGAAAAAAGTTATTTTTGAGGCAGGGTCTTGCTAAGTTGCCCAGGCTGAGCTTAAACTTGTAGTCCTCTTGCTTCAGCCTCCCAGAGTGCTAGGATCATACAAATGCATCACAGGCCTGGATTGAGACTTTTCATAAAGAAAAGTTATACCAATTGCATTCTCTACCTTGTAGTACATGAAGCTCACTTTCTTTTGATGATGCCCAGAGTGACAAAAATCTAAGACCTGGGGTTTCATCTCCATTCCATCCATTATGAGCTGTCTGGTCCTGGGCAGTTCATCCTCCATCCTGCTCTCCTACAATTACCCTGGCATACTTTACCAGGCCATGGCAAGGTTCAAGCAATAGAACATACACGGAGGCCCAAAAGATACAAAGACACAGGGGGCTATTGTTGTGCCTCTTTTTGGGACATGGTACTCATGGGGATGAGGGACTTTTGGATGCAGGAAAGCTTGGATTGTGATAAGGAGAGCATCAGCCCAACAATCAATGTTCCCTCTTACCCTGGAACTTTTACAACTCAGTTTAGACAACAAACTGCTGAGCTTTGAGAGAGTCCAGAAAAACCCAAACAAGCAAGCACAGCGATTACAACACCAGAACACTGATAAGACTGCAGTCAAGCACACACGGAACGCTTGCTATGTGCTGTACAACGCAGAGGGTTTTTAATCCCACTGTTTCAGGAATCAGCCACAGCGTGCCAGGCAGGCACTGTTCTCAGTGCTTTCGCACACAGCCCCTCATTAACCCTCTCAACAACTCTGTAAGAAAGGCACTGTGATTATCTCCATTTTCCACGTGAGGAGACGGAAGCACACACAAGTCAGGTAGCTTGCTCGAGGTCACACAGCTCACACTGGGGGCCGAGGGTGGTCTACATTTCACTGTCTACTTCCATCAGGTCCCCAAAGCAGGCACGATCAGCCACCAGCAGCAACCCCTCCAAGTTTACTGCGAAGTTTGGTGAGTCAGAGAAGTGCCCTCGATGTGGAAAGTCAGTCTATGCTGCTGAGAAGGTCATGGGAGGTGGCAAGGTAAGGCTTTCTGTTGGAGCCAAATGGGATCTGCTCATCTATACTGGATGGGCTGGAAGGGAGGAGGGCACTGGGACTTTTGGCAGGTGGGGGCAGACCCTACACTCACCTTAGCTTCTAGAACCTCTCCAGATAGTGTTTAACTACAGGAAGTAAGGTTTACATTAAATACATTACAATGCATTACAGTAAAAGACATACTGTCATTAATCCTCCCCTTGGTTTTGAACACTCTTCTCCCACTTCCTGAAGCAGTTCTGGAAGCCCTCTTCCCTGAGTGTCTTTAGCTGTGCTATGTGGCTGACCCAGTGTCCTAAATCAATTCAAAATGTTTACCTTTCATGGTCACTTTGACTTTGGGGAAGAGCCAGAAGTTGAATCATGCCAGATCCAGCAAATAAGGTGGATGAGAACACACTACAATGCTTTACAAGCCTGCCTCTCTGTCGGGTTGTATACAGAAACAGCATCCACTACACACACACACACACACACACACACACACACACACACACACATATATTTTTTAATCACTTCTTGTAAAGACACTCATGAAAGAATTTCCAGAACCGCTTCAGAAAGTGTCAAGAACACTGGGATAAGTATGTTTGAGGAGAGAGAGATTAATGGCAATGTATCTTTTATTGTAATACTTTCTTTGCGGGGGTACTGGGGATCAAAGTTGGGACCCTGTGCTTGTGAAGCAGGCCGTGGCACCACTGAGCTAAATCCCTGGCCCTGTAATAAATTTTTATTCAAACATTCACTGTGTATTTTGACCACCCCTTGTAGATAACCATACATTTTCACTCACCTCTCTGGGCTGTGACTGTCACCTGGCAGTGCCCTTGGGAAACAAGAATGGATGCAGTTTGCTGCAACAAGTGTTAAACTACTAGGGCAGTGGCGGCAAACCTGTGGCACACGTGGGCTATTGGTGTCCAAAGCCCTAAAAGGTTTTCTACCACAGTACCAGGACCAAAGCACCGAGCTAAAGGCACCCAAGCCTCCCAACTATCAACGTACACAATCCTTCCGGAAAGGTGCCAGCCCCGGAACCCGGCACCACCTGTAACTGCATGTGCTCCTGTCATCACACAAGGACTACCTCACAGCAGCGAGACAGCCTCACTTACCAATGTCCCGGCTTACAGGGAAGTCAGCCCGTGTCTGCGACAGTCATGCACACCGTTCTAAAAGCTCCAATTTCAGGCCCAAAGTCAGGGTACTCATCAGAGGAGCTGGACCTGAGGAAAGAGAAGGATCCTGCTAACACTAGATGTAGGGAAGAAGGGGCACGGAGAGGACAGGCTTCTGCACAGAGGCTGTCTCTTCACAAAGACCAGCCCTTCGCAGGCCCACGAGAACCTCCAGCCAGAGCCTGGCAGACATGTACCATACAGGCGGGAGGTGATGCTCCCAATAATCCAAGCACCTCTGTGCCATGGGAATTTCAGGGAGAAAACAAGGTTGATTACACAGAGGGCTGCTTCTTCACTTTTCTTTATCTTCATATTCAACACAACTATTACCTTTGGCCTCAAGCCCAATCCTTTCCCGACCAGTGTGTCCCTTGGATCTGTTCCCCGCAGGAAAGCCCTTCTCTCTGTCCTACTTTGAAGGAACCCATATGCAAGTCACCACAACACATCCGCTTGCAGGGCTCTGCTAGCCAAGGCCATTGCACCTCATCTTCTCCCAATCCCCGGAAAGATTAGCTAAAGTCCCATTAAGTCTGCGAAAACACTTGTTTGTAGGATGCTGGTTAGGAAACCCAAAAGGAAAGTAGAACTGTGCTGCCACTTCCTTGATGTGCAACTCTCCTGTGCTCCTCAGCCTTGGCACAAGACCTGCTTCCGCTGTGCCATCTGTGGGAAGAGCCTGGAGTCCACGAATGTCACTGACAAAGACGGAGAACTGTATTGCAAAGGTGAGTGGTTCTGGACCTTCCGGAGACTTGTTTCCCCAAGGAGGGTGCTTGGGGTGGGCAGGTGCGTTCCTGCCTAGAGGCCTCTGGGCCGGCGTGAGTCCACCTGGGCTGCGGCTGAAGAAGTTTATCGATACGTATCTGTGTCCTCTCTGCCTGTGTCGCCCTTCCTCCTGCCGTCCATGTTCCTTGCTGTCTCTGCTCCCCCCCCCTTCTGACACTTGTTTCTGACACTGCATGTCACTTAGAGATCAGAGGCAGAACTGGCTTTCCTCTTGGTCCCGGCAGCTCTCAGCCAGCTGTCTAAATAATCCCCGGGGTCTTGTGCAAAGACAGTGAGGCTCAGCTCCCTCCTCATACTACAGAAAGGGAGGCACTAGGGCCAAGGCAATGTTGTCACCCAGAGCCTCCTCAGGCCTATTCTGCGACTGTCGAAGGTCACTTAACGATACCTCAGGCATCTCTGGAATCAGGGCAGCAAAGGAAAGAGGGTTAAGAGAGCATTGTTAATTACGACTATAGGTTGCCAAAGCTTTTCCTATGATGAGACTGGATGGGACTTAACTCATCATCTGACGGGTAGCGGGTGGTTGCCTTATGCTGGTAGTAGAGGACACAGAGGTTCAGCATTCACAGGTCCTAAAACTCTACAATCTTGTTGTAGTCAGTAGGACCAACATATAAACAAATCATGTTTCAAAGTGAAGAAAGCTGCAGTAAAGAACATTCACAGCTCAGCTGCCTACCCGATGGAGGCTTCTCCAAAAACACACTTCCTCCTGGGCTTGAAGGCGCTGTGGGTTTGGGAAGAGGCATTCCAGGAACAGGCAGCAGTGACATTTAAGAGTGGACATCACGGCACATTCTTTGGTGTGTCTGCAGCATGAGGCAGGAGCCAGGGGGCTGGGTAGGCAACCCAGACCCGGACGGTGCCAAGTCAAGTGAGAAAGTCTTATTAGCAGACCTGTGAGAAATACACTTTATTTAAAAGTTAACCTGTGCATCCCTTCATGAAGTTGCCTTTCACAGGTAAATGGACTGTGCCTATGCATGAGGACCTGAACAAGGGTGCTGATCAACATTCTCTCTCTTTATCCCCTCATTCAGTTTGTTACGCCAAAAATTTTGGCCCTACAGGCATTGGGTTTGGGGGCCTCACACACCAAGTGGAAAAGAAAGAGTGAAAGGAGCGTCCTTCCTCACTTTCACAGCAAAAGGCGTTGCCAAGTGTTCCTGTGCTGATGACATTTTCCCCCAGAGCAGCCTCGTTTGTAGCTGGACAACATTCTCTTCAGAACCAAGTGAGGGGACAAAAAACAACATAACACAAAACAAAACAAAACCTTGGAAGAAGATTATTTAAAATTTAATCTGTAACAAATGCTTTATTATTTACAATTATTGGAGTGGGAGAGGCAATAAATGTTTTAGTGGTACTTTGCATGTCTCTGGATTCTTTCTTTTTGAAAGAGTGCATTTTTCAAAAAATAGAACTAGTTCAAAAAAATTTCTGCTGCAGAGAATGAATTTAGATGTAAGCTGGGAAAGGAGAAGGGAGAAATCACAGGCTAAGGTTGCCTCCCAGAATCGTCAGCTGAGTGTCTTTCCAGTTACTGCTAGCAGAGAAGTAAACAGGCAGTCTCGGAGGAAACAGAGAACAAGACAGCAAATTCTACAAGGAAAATAAAAATAATAAAATTGCCAGAGTTTATCCTTTTGTTCTATCACTGGCTTTGCAATCTTACAAATTTCGTGAAAACTGAGAAATGACAGCAAAGCATGGCACTTGCTTCTGTATTATGAACGACACAAAGACGATTTTCTTTTATTCTAGGACAATTCCCTGAGGTTTAGCAATTTTTAAAAAACTTCTCCATCCAATTGCCAGCCTCAGAAGTGAAATGCAGCCAATTAGAGACACATTCCTCTGCTTCTTTGGTGGCAAACTGAATGCTTGGATTCTTGTAACAGCACCACTAATTCTCCTACCTCTGCACAATTTAAAATTATTTGGAGTAAATGAAAGCAAATAAAAATCTACTGATAAAAATGATGAAATCTTAGACTAAACCATGGGGTTTTCTATGTACCAAGTCCCAAAGAAGGCTGTGTTTCAAAGGAGGGATTATGGGGCCGGGGATTTAACGCAGTGGTGCTGCCGTCTGCCTCACAAGTGCAAGGTTCCGAGTTTGATCCCTGGTACAAAAAAAAAAAAAAAAAAAAAAGA